GGAAAGAGAAATAGAAAAGACTTTGGGGGATTTTTTTTTCTTGACTGTCTAAAACCTATTTTATTTGCTCAGATCCAACAACTCTCCAAAAAAGAAATAGAAGACTTGCTTCGAAGAGGTGCATACGGTGCCATTATGGATGAAGAAGATGAAGGCTCTAAATTCTGCGAGGAAGACATTGACCAAATTTTGCAGCGTCGTACTAAAACTATCACAATTGAATCAGAAGGAAGGGGCTCCACGTTTGCTAAGGTGCAGAAGCAGCAAGTTGTTCTGTGACAGTATAGAGCTGTAAACGTAATTGAATGTTGCAAAGCTTATGCTTTTTTTTTTTAAAAAAAAAAAGTTATGTTTATTTTTATTTAATGTGTATGTTAGGTACATTTTTGGGGTTCTTGCATCTATGTGTTTATATTAATGTGCACATAGCAAAATCAGATTTCACATACAGATTGAGTAAATGCCAGATGCAAAGAGCATGCCTGAGCAAACATGAGTAATAGTTGTGTGCTGTTTTTGAAAAGGCTAGGATTTGTGTAAGATACAATGGACTGCATTAACCAAGAATATTATAATAGTTTTGTTTATAGATTCATTTGTATTCAGATATATTAAGAACAGGGGAAAATGTATATAAGGCAATAATTAAGATGATAAAAAATTGTCAGGCTCATTCTAAAAAAGCCTACATATATGATATAGTTTGAACCTTTTGCTTTTTTGGTAAGAGTTTGAAAAGCAAAATAAGAAAGGTCCTAAAATAGCAGGAGGTGGAGAGTATACATATATACACAGGGGAGCGGGGCAGGTGGGGCTGAGAATGTAAGGTCTTAGGAGTAACAGTCTAGAATGAAATTGGACCGACACTTTCTAATTTTTGGTGGGTAAAACAGTAATATCATAGCCTCCAAAAACCTATGCTGGAAAGTTGGATAAACAGAACAAGAAGTAAGTTTGGACTCCTTTAATTTCCAAAGCATGTGCAAACATCAATCTGAACAAATACAAATTCAGGTAAATTAAAAAATACATAAACAACTAAAATCAAGCAGTGTAACTGAGCTTGGAACGTGGGTACTTCATGAACGCAGTTGTGACAATTAAAAAAAAGGCAAAGCAAAAGGAAAACTTTTCAGAATATAACTGTATATTATATTTTATATATAATTTGTAAAATATAT